TAACAACGTTTGGTGTTAATCAGATCAAATATGAACGATTGGCAGCTTTTCAAATATCTAGATCATGTTTCAAAAATAAATGTATGRGAATTTAAAATAGCGTTTTTTAAAAGGCTATAAATTGCGTAATGTTGACCTGATTGACGCCAAATTCGGACAGKTTTCATTGCTCAATATATTTKTTCGTTCTATATAGGTCCTATGTAGCCAAATTGCCAATTAAGGGACTTTTGCCCAGTCTCCCACGGTATAAAATCAGGCAATGAATTCATATTAGACCATGATCAGAAAACAGTAGAAAAAATGTTGAGAAAAATTGKTCTTTTTGGTCTTTTTTCATATTTGTCCTATAATTTGGTGGATACTAAGGCAATTAGACCACTCGGTCTCGTGAATTACTAAGAGGTTATTAACCGAGGTCTTGACAGTACGGACCTCGCGTGTACATAAAAACGGAGGTCTGATATTTTTTTACGGGCCGTACAGATCGAGCAAGCGAGGTTAATAACTTGTTTATTATATGGCTTTTATATCTTGAATTTAATTAGAAGAATTAATCAAAGTATACAGGAAAAGTCTCACTGGTCAACTTACAACCGGTTGCCTCCCTCCATCTGATAGCACCGCTTTTCCCAAATATCTCACGGTATGAATAAAATGACACAAAACTCATCATATTTTTTAGCAATTCTCTACTGAAAAGACGAGGTTTTTGGCTCCTTGTTTCATTGATTCAATWTATTTTCATGCACACTTGCATTAGTATTACAGCTTTTTCACAAATTTTTACTGATTCTTCTATCGCCGCGCGGCCGGTGTAGATTTGTTTACTTTACGAAGTGGATGTCCCTCGATATAGAATTCAGAGCCTAAATTATTTTGGATTCCGCGTCTCGACTCCMTTGTCGTCAAACTGGTTAAATAAATCGACATAAGCATATAGTTTTTAAAGAGTTTGATCGATTATTTAGCGAGAAAAGAAAAAGAAAACGAATAGAACAACAGCAAAACAAAATGCACATGATATTACCTAAGATGTACTTGAATAATGATATATGATTCCAGAATAATTCGTGTTTGAATCTTTTATTTGTAGTGCGCGATTGGCCTATCTATCAAACAGCACAGCATACGAGACGTATTATCAAAGGCTTATCGTAAGTAACTTACAATCATAACCTTTTGTCAGAAACCTCTGGTAAATCACAAAACTTAGGAAAAGGAAGAAYGGATGAAAATCTCATTCACCTATTCTGCTATGAACTGGTTTGACTCGTGGATCTGGACTTCTCTCCATCACTTCTTTCCCTTCAACTTGCATGTTTTTGCTCTTATCCAGCTGTGGTTTCTAGCAGTCGGTCTTTCTCAATTCAACATTCGAGCATGAAGCGCGTGACTGTGCCTTACGAACTTTGTCCAAAAACTGATCAAATCAGACTCTAGCCAAAATCAAGGGCAYGTGATATTTTTCTCCTATTTGCTTTTTTATGTTCTTTGATAAAACTGTGCTTTCACTGTTGTTTTCAAGGAGTCGATACAACTCCAAAAGAGGAGTTACAACCAAGGTTTCAGATATAAACCAGGGRAAGTGATTTTAACTTTTCTTCTATGACAATTTTGAACACTTTTGAAGTAATTTTGATTGTCTTTCTGATTTGATATGAAATTCTGGAGTAAAAACTACATTGTGGATAGATTTAACTGTCTTTAAAGTTACGCCACCAAGTAGAGTAACTTAAACTCCTTGAAAATAACAATGTTGCTATTATCATGCCGACGCCATACTTGTTTCGGGATATATTTACTTCTTCGGGCCTGATAATGCCTGMGTTCCAGGGAAGCTCAATGGTGACCTGAAACAAAATATAATATGCATGGGAAAAATACACTTAACCTTTAACCCTTGACAATCACTGGAMTATTTTGCATGTAATTTATGGCCTACTATAGGARTAAGAATTCATTCTGAAATTATTTATTTCGCCTCATCGAAATAAATTTCTTTTGTGACTTTGGCGCAGTCGTTTCAAATAAGCTATGTGTGGCGACGCCATATTTTTGTACAAAAGAAAGCATGATGGGAGTG